CCTGGGATTACAAAATATTTTTATTTGAAAGAAAACCAGTTCGAAGGGAGCATAATTTGCTTTTTGGGTTCAAAGAATTTCTTAATATGAAATTTGAATGGTATGACAATTAGAAATTAGACTGTACAGAAATTGAAATCTATTTCAAAACTCGAGAAACTCGCTTATACACACTATATTCACATAGTCGCGTAATGCTGATGTTGTTAACATTAACAATTTGAGAATAAAGTATATCAATAATAATAATAATTTGCACGGTTTGATGTGATATGAACTAACCGATCTTTAGATTATCACCATTGGTAGCGCGATTTATTGTAATGATTTTTTACTCCGTTGGTCAGAACAAACGTGGCAGACGTATTACTTACTTGTTCAGATGACAATATCCGGTGAAAATTCTTATTTGGGTCATATTCCAAGACGTAGGCTAGAATCTGTGAGTGCAAAGTACAATATCCACACCGGTGTGGTGACTGACTGCCACACACGCATACTCCTCAAAACATTAGATTCATCCGCACTGGAGCCGTGCTGCCGCACAAACCACGCAAGCTAGATAATTCCACACACAGCTGCAATTGCAGGTTTTCAAACAGAGATGGTGACAAAGAGGCAAAACTTACGGACTGCAGCTTTAAGCGTCACGCTTCTCCCACAACATAAACGCTAAGATATTTCTCTGTGTACGGATATATGCTGATATAAATAATGCAATGCACGGAAGAATGTCGTAGCCTATGCAATTTCCCGCAAAATCCGTCCTGACATGCATTAAAAAAAAAGAAGTAATTATTATAGGGTAATTAAATTGTATTTGGGTGAATTAAGGGCTTTTTTACTCTAGCTCTTTAATAATATTATTTGTTTTCATCAAAAAGTTGCATAGTGTAGTTTTAAATTAAGATTCAGATAATAATTATGTTTTTCTGGTAGACAATCTGCCAACATTATAGCTATTTAACAATCAGATTTTCCATCTTTCCATTGTACTATTTAACACAAAATGTAGCAGTCGCTCGGTAAATGCACACAAGCCTCGTATCTTTTTAATCAGAAACAAACACTGAATTTTCATAGCATTTGCCCTATAGTCATATGCAGGTATTACAAACTGCCACATTAAATTCTGATTTCAAAGTATTCAGCAGTTAAAAAATTCCAATGTACTATTGTATGACTGAAGAAAAAAAGAATTACCTCATCCCATCCAGCTTAATTTCATCCTATCAACCATGACCTGTAATATCAAGACACCTCTCCATCATCTGCAAAAACTACATGATGTCTTGTCTAATCTCCAGTGAATATGTATGCATGATCATGGGGTTTACTTGCACAGTCCAGTCTGGCTCCCTTTAATTTAATATGTTCTTGACTACGTAGGTCTACTTGCTTTGTGAAGTGACTTGATGCTGTTGCAGACAATAGATGTCAAGCTTGTGTTACAGGAATGCAGCTGTAGATAGATGCCTTGAGAATAGTATATAGCACTACACCAGATGCCATGCTCAACTCAAGTCTCAAATGTGTATGTAAAACAACTTATGGACTGACTATTTGAACAAATAAAAAGACAAACTGTATCATATACGAGCAGTAATTTTATTACTTGCATGCGCGTGCACACACACTCACACAAAATCAGTCATCAGGCCAACGAAGCTCATATAGTTACTGTCATAATGATACATACACATTCTGTAAAAGTGAAAATAAAGTAGTTGATGCATAAAGGGTGTCTGTGGTTTTTAATCCAAATACATGATGACACGGTTATGGCTCCAACAAATAAATATAAAATCTTCTATATCAAAACTGAATATTCTAATATGAGCACATATTCTGAGCCTCAAACAAAGTCTCTGATTTAGTCTTTCCAACGATGCCCACATTGTAGATTGCAGCACTTGTAGAAGGTTGTCATTGGTTCATCAGCAGACCTAGTTTGAATCTGCATAAAGTAGGCCCTTGGGTGCTCACATTTTGGACAAGGTTCTGCAAATGTAACAGAGTTGTACATATATATTGTGTGTCTCCACTTGCTAAGAAGGTTAAATAATCACACTGGAGGATGATTGGACAGAACAAGGGTTTACAGGGCTTCCTATTGGCTGGCTGGTTCTTTGTGCTGTGTGCGCCCTCTATTGCACTTATCAGTTCATGTGTGTAAGGCCAGCGGTAAGTCGTGTGATTGAAGAAATATCATAAAGTGTTATACCTCAAAACGAATCAAGAAGGATTAAAAACATTCATTTAAAGCCACCAGAACGTGTTGTAAAATATTCACTGTGCATACAAGTACTGTTTTTATAACACTAAGATACACTGTTTTACCTGGAGTGGAATCCACGTTTTCCCAAGCAGCAGAGCCCCCGAGAACATCATCAACCTCCTTCAGTTTGGGGTACTTTCTGTTATTTACCTGTCAAAATATCCAAGTTACTTCCACACACACCATATATATATATATCCTTTGGTGGCATCTGAAAATACATATTCTCAAAGCAGTTACTTCTTTTAAATAAGTATTTAATTCGTGACCATTAAATTTTTTTATGTAGTACAAATTTGTGTATTTATTCATGTAACCCCGACATACCACATCTGTCATGTTCAGATTATCATGTGACCTACAGTTGCGTACTTGTTTTCGTATACTGCTTTTCGCCTACTACAAAGTATCATTGGCTGACACTATGTAGAAAACATAATGTCTTTCATACTTACCGTATGCTTATTCGGATGCAGCAGCCACGGAATCGAAAAGTCACATTATTTATTTTGCATTCAAATAAACGTATTACATGTATTCTAAAAGAAAAGTTCACGTTTTGTTCCAGCATTACATGCATTTGAATGGAACATTCACATTGTTTAATGCGAATTTAGTGTGTTATAATGTTATAAACTTTAATCTTACCATGTTTTCGAATCACATGTTCACACGTTACATGTGTTGGAATCGAACAATCATTTTATTCCACGAGTAATCTAATCGAAGGTTCGCATCATCAGATATGCTTAAATCATAATGTCCAATAATTTCATCTTCAAAGTATTTTATTGTGTTCCATTTAAAAACAAACTACAGATAATCACGTATTTAAACAAAATGTTCCAAACGCGTTCCTATGTTGTAATGGTAACTCATTACCTTCCTCGTGATGTTGTGCACATATGGACATGTGTTACAAGCGAATCTGAAGCATCTCTGTCCCTCTTCAACGATTAACACATTCACACAAGTTGGACAAAACAGGAGCATTTTCAAGAGGTTATATATAATACTGTATACTAAATACTGTTACTGTTTTTTTTCCTGATGCAAATGAAGTTTGTGTTTACACACATTCTCATGCCTAGTCGCTACAGGAAACACATGATAACGTTCCTCACTATTCTAGGCTCGACATGAAACGAAATATAAACGCGAATAAACATTAATTATAGGGTATATAATAATGTTATATATACCTATAACTGTCAGGAACTATATACATGTTAAATTAAATTATTTAAATGTTAAGAATTGTATAGGCAGTATCGGAAATATAACATAGAAACGTATGCGGAACTCAAGTTTGGTGCATCACAGAAATATTCCGACAAAAAAATGGATATAACGAAAGCTGGAACGTAACAGAACTGTAATCGAATAATTATTTAAGTAGGAATATTTGTGTATATACGTGTGTCACAGAAATATTCCGACAAAAAAATGGATATAAGGAAAGCTGGAACGTAACAGAACTGTAATCGAATAATTATTTAAGTAGGAATATTTGTGTATATACGTAAAAACAAGTAATAAATTGATAATAAATGAACCATGACTGCATAACAGCAAAAGTAACGTTAGGTGGCGATATGCACACAGGATGTAACACGCCAAAAAACGGAAGAAGAAGAAGAACAGAACTGTAGATGTTAGAAATTTTATCAGAAATAATTTAGCAGCTGTGCCATAATTCCGTTTAAATTCACTAATTGATTTAATAAACATGGAAAGAACTTGACGACTTTATGTCTCGTATTTCTGGATGTAACGTTAGACTTACATCAAGAAGTTTTCGCTTGTCATCAGTTGAAAATGGATGAATTAAAGGAAGAAAACCTAAAGAATGTCGATGAGGCTGAGCTTGAGGAGAAAACTGTTGTAGAGGAAATTAAAGAAGAGCAAGAAGAAGAAGAAGACGACGAGGAGGCATTGCCACACTCTGAATTTCTTGACATCTTTGAGGAAGGACTGGCTCTGATGGTCCAGGACCCTTTATTGTGCGACCTGCCAATTCAGGTCTACCATCAAACAACAATAAAGAATTTGTTTTAATAAAATAATATTGAAACAATCTACATGTTTGAATGTAAGGTCTAGAATTCCCAATCTTTTCTGATCTTTTAAATGTTCAGGTCACGTTGGAGGAGGTGAACTCTCAGGTGGCGTTGGAATATGGTCAAGCCATGACTGTTCGTGTTTGTAAGGCTGATGGAGAAGTCATGCGTGAGTTTTCTTGGAATTAGTTGGAATTGCTATACATTTATTGATTCTAACTGGAGCAAATCTTTTCACAGCTATTGTGGTTGTGCAGTCTGCTACGGTTCTGGATCTGAAGAAAGCCATTCGCAGATATATGGAACTAAAACAACAACGAGAGGGAGGTGTCAAGCACATCAGCTGGTGAGACATGAAAAAAGTATAGGATGTGATTTTGTATTTGTTTGTTTTTTCCTAATCCACTTTCCCTGTCAAGGAAATACGTGTGGAGGACATTTCATCTGGTCTTCAATGGAGAAAAATTAGAAGATGACAAAAGAAAGCTGAAGGAGTGAGTCCAAATAATCTGTTGCTTTTGTAGAAATGTGTTCACTTGTATTCATTTGGTGCACAGTGATTGCTTATAATATAATATGTTTTGATTGTGTTTCCTCTGTCCTCAGCTACGGGATCAGGAACAGAGATGAAGTGACGTTTTTGAAGAATCTGAGAAGGAAATGAACAAATGAAGTTCTCTTTAATGGGTGAAATTTGTAAATAATGAATAGACATTTAAATATGTTCACCCAAAAACTAAAAACTAATCCTCATGGTGTTCCCTACCAAATACTGTCCCGTGTTATTTTTCTGTGGAACAAAAAAGGGGGAAAAAAATTTTGAATTGCATTTTTTTTTCATCATGAGAATGAGTAAATGATGACTTAATTTTTTAAGGTAAACTTATCCTGTCAAGACGACACTTGTTGAAGCAATCTAACAAGTAGCTATTCTTAGAATACATTTTATAAAGGCTCTTTGTTCCTTTTAGTTAGACAGAAACCGAAACATGCAAATAAGTGAAGTGACATGTGGCATGATACTTGGAATTAGTGCTCTGCATTTATCCCATCCAAAGTGCACACACACACAGTGAACACACACACACACACACACACACACAGCAGTGAACACACACCCGGAGCAGTGGGCAGCCATTTTTGCTGCAGGGGTTCGGTGCCTTGCTCAAGGGCACCTCAGTCGTGGTATTGAAGGTGGGAGAGAGCGCTGTACATTCACTCCCCCCACCTACAATCCCTGCCGGTACGAGACTCGAACCCGCAACCTTTGGGTTACGAGTCCGACTCTCTAACCATTAGGCCACGACTTATGTGTGATAGTCCTCCATTTCGAAGAAGCCTATTATTAACAAGTATACATGGTACATCCACAAAACAGCTGATTCACTGGAAGTAAATGTCTTACAAAAATCATATTTGTGTATTTCATGTTGCTTTTATATTGATCAAAATAATTAAACCTGAACATGGTGAAAATGAGTTGTTTTCAAAAGTGCAATTTAAGTCCCATTACTGCTGCTTGTTAAAATGCTTAATATTAAAGTCCCACCAGATTTGCTGCAAAACTGTAGATGTTTGTATTTTAAGACCCTTGTCACCATGTGAGTTGGTAGTAAAATACAGGTAAACCACACACTTTAAATATTATGGACATGTTCCTCATACTGTTCAGCTACAGTATGACCAGCCTCATATTTCCTTATTACTGCAATGTGAAGAGCGACTGAAGAGACAAAGCAGCACACATGGGTAATTATTAAAATATACGATTCATTTTTTAATTTTAATTTTGTAATTGCACTAGGGTTGAACAGTATTTTTCATATCAGGAATAAACTTGTATTAAACCGTTCTTCTTGACTGGACGCTACGGCTCATTTCTGTTATGAAACTGTCGTATCTATTTCAGAGTGGATGCTGTATGAAGGTTTGAGGCTTTCGGAGGTTTAAGTGAACCGTCATCTCAACCCTCAACATGCCTGATGAACGGCTGACGAACATTTTTGAGGAGCTGAACCGACTGTCCTCTCGCAGACAGCAGCTGATTGACAAACGCAATATCCTGGCAATGCTCATCCAGTTCAAGCAAAACAATGGCCAGAATGAGCAACGTGAGTCCCATTAAATGGAACTGCTTGATAACAGAAGCCAAATAAACAGTGAAAGACATTTACGGATTATTATTCATAAATAAAGAATTTGGTTATATATGCAATATAGCGATTTCTCATTGTATAGTGTTACAGTACGTAAGGAAAAAACTAATGTAGCTCACACGAGATCTTGTAACCAACAGAGTATTCCAGAGAGACTGAAGAACTTAAAGAGATTGATGAGCAGCTTAAAGTTCTCACTGAAAAGAAGCTTGAACTGGTGAATTTGCAAGAAAGATCGGGAGGCAATCATTTAATAGGTATGGTAATTTGATATCTTTTTTTTTTTTTACAGGAAATATACTTAAACATTTGGAATGACATTTGTATTTTGAAGGTGCAGTTCGTTTTCATATGTCCTTATGTTTTTATTATTTCAGACACAACTGTTTCATCTACAGACAGTCCGCCATCTTATCCAGGTTAGTAGGTTTTGACACTAGTTTCAGTGATGGTAAGATGTGAAGTTTTTTGAGACAACTACGCAAATACAAAATCCAACAGGACCAGATCTTCCTGAAAGCGGCTCATGTTTGTTTTTCTCAGCTCCGCAGGTGATTCTGGATGTTGAGCAACTTCCTCGACACTCAGCTCGGACGCAGTGTCCATTCTGTCGCCAGTATATAACCACAGACGTCACAACCAAAGCTGGCAGTGCCGCCTATATTGTGTGTCTTATTTCCATTCTTTTTTGGTGAGATGAACTGCCGTCTGATATTTTACTTTATTTATTCTCATTTACGTCCACTATGCCACTGTGTGATTACCATTATGTCTTTCTATTAAGGGTTAAACATGACATATTTTTGTTCTTGACTGTTTCTTGTGTAGTTGTTTAGCTGGCTGCTGTGTTATCCCGTTCTGCATGGATAGATGCAAAGACGTCGTTCACAAGTGTCCAAAATGTCGGAGTCACATAAAAACATGCAAAAAGCTCTGAGGAGTGGAATGTTTGAATCCCGTAATGTGAACTGAAAAGGTTGCTGGAATTGTTTCAGCCGTTGTCATCCTGAACGTTTTACAGGGACAGCCCCCATGGAATTACCTGAAGTGGCTTTTTTAAAGGATACGATATGGCGCTATGTCACGGTTCGCTCTTTGTGGGGACGAAGCCAACTTTTCGGTTTGCCTTAAAACTGCCTCCAAAACTATCCATACTGAAAGGAAAATGTAAGATGTCTGAATCTTCTGTGAGATTTCAGTCTTCTGGTTTGAACTTAAAGAACATTCAATGCCAAATTAGAATTTTGGGTTGAATATTTGCTAGAGCACTGAACACTTTCAGGTTGTGCAGGATTATAAAAAAAAAAAAAAGAAATGAAAATGCAATCAGGGTTTCTGCGGTTTTAAGTCTTAAATCGCCCTTTTACAATTTAAGGCCTTAAAATGGTCTTATATCAGAGTAGAAAGTCAAGATATATTTACTTGGAATGCAAATGTAAAATGAAATCTTGCAAAAACTGAAAACAATTAAGTGAGTTTATGCTTACAGCAATAATACATATCTGCAATAGCGCTGTCAAACGATAAATCGCGATTAATCGTATCCAAAATAAAAGTTTTTGTTTACATAATATATATATGTGTGTACTGTGTACATTTATTATGTATATATCTATAAATACATACACATGCATGTATATATTTCAGAAAAAGATGTTATATTTATATATTAAATATATTTATGTATAATATGAATATAAATATAAACGTAAATACGTGTATTATATTTTCAAAAGATATACTGTATGTGTGTGTCTTTATATATACAAAATAAATATACACAGTACACACATATATTGTGTAAACAAAAACGTTTATTTTGGATGCGATTAATCGTTTGACAGCACTAATCTGCAACAATGTGGTTTAATTAAGCTGATTTTTCGGAGCCTATGGGCAGATATTTAGGGGCCAACCACCGAAGGTCTGTAGATACCTATTGTATCCTTTAATGTTCTTCTTCTCGCTCTTGAGTCTATGGCGGCCCATAAAACCGTATGGTATTTTGGCACACATATAGAGGACAGTCTGAGCATTAGCCACAGCAGATTTGGAGTCTTTAACGCAATCCCTCTAGCGCCACCAACTGTCCAAAGTTGCACTCATGTTCATTTAAAATGAAAGGAATAAATTTTTTTTGTAAAAGGAAAAGAAAAACCCACCAACGGTTCTTTTTTTCTTCAGATTCCTTGGCTGAAGATAATTCGATTGAACCTATGCCATTTTCCATCATAAACATGTTCCCGATATTTTGAGTTTTCCGTAAAACCTACTTTTTCAAACTCCTCCTAGACCATTAGTCTGATTTACATAAAAAAAGTAAAATCAGATCATGTTCAGACAAAAAACAAGAAGAACATGGAATTCAAGTTGATTAGCCTTGAATAACAAGCGAATGAATTAAACAAAAACACATCAAAATGGACAAGAGGCTACATGCAACGCTTTTGTTTATTCAGACTAAACTTGGTGTCTATGACAACCATGACCTGAGGGTACCTGCACAGTTTCGGCATAGCGGCACCTAGTTGTCAGGTGATGTGAAAAAAATTATATTTTTGCTTATAACTTTTGAACAGTTTGGTCAAAAATCAAGACCACAATTGTCTCTTTGGATTCGGTGCAGCATACCAAGTTGATTGATACCCAATTTTCCCATGTTGGCCATTTTGACTTTAGCTTCGCTATATTTTACAAAAGCATTAGCGTAACGTTACGAAACTCTGTATTTGTCTTTGGCACCATGCCCTGATGGTACTCAAAAAGTTTCAGGGCAACACCACCTTGTGGTCAAAAAATGCTAATAGCTTTTGATTATTTTTGTCATGAGACTGGTCTTGATAGATTTCCTTGAATCATGCCGAGAACATTGATACCATCGATACTAATTACACCACAAATGTCCGGTCTGGCATTTTGATTTTCTTTGAAAACCTGCTTCTCCTCCTAAACCACTGGCCCGATTTTCACCAAATTCGACATAATCATCTTCAGACTTGCTTGTCAAGTAAATGTATCTTGATTTAAGGATGTTTAGACATTTCAAAAGAACATCACTTTTTTTGTGGTGTGATCAAAAGGTACAATAAAGTAATTTCCATATTCTAGTGGTTGGGAGCAGAGCTATTTAAACCTTAAGCTGTATTTATTTATTTTGTAAAATAAATTGAAAAGTAATGGAGGTTAGTTGAAAGCTGTACTTTTGAATTTTGGAGTATTACTAATACAAGCCATTCTTTGCTACTTAGACATTTACATTTGGAAAACATTGTGTTCCCTTCAATTCCTTAAAAGTTCCTTTACTTGGTCTTAAAAAGTGTAAAATGTACCTTTGTAAAATCTGCAGAAACCCTGGCAGTACTTTAACAAATGCCTGATTCTGTTTGCATGTAGTAGAGTAGGAGTTCTTCAGCTGGTTAAAAGCAATTCTAAATTATTTTATCTTGTTTTGTAGGCTATGTTAGGTTAAAAATATTATCTTTGGTAAATTGTCAAATGTTAAGTATATTTATTGTGTTGTTAGCTTTGCCAAATAAGGTTATGTGGGGCCAGAGCGTCCTTTGGAAGGCCAAACAAGTAAGTTCAATAGTTTCAAATACAGAAACATTTTAATGATAAAAGGCTGTATATACAATAAAGATATGTACAAAGATAACCTCAAAACATTATTTACAGTTGCACAAATACATTTGTATAAAATGTATATTGTAAAAATATATACACTGCGCAAAATATGAGGCATACAATCTACATCGCACTTCAAAGGGTCAGTAAGATTTTATATATTTCTCTTCTTTTCCTCTTCATAACAGAGCAGTTACTCTGATGGACATATTGAGAAAAGGTACACAAACCCTAATAATCTTTACAGGTTCATGATAGGATTTTACTCGACCGCGGGCCTTTTTTCACACTAAAAAAAATACATGTAGAGCCATAAAATATGTGATAAAAATATATGTGAGAACTGCATAAATGCAGTAAAATGGTACGTTTACAAAATTAAAAGCTTTGGGTCTCTGATAGAGACCGAACTATGGTATCCCTAGAAATTACATTTCTAAATATAGAAATACATTCTTTCATTTTGACAGCATGTTTGGATAAGGAACTGATTGTCAATGAGTTCAGTCCAAGGTCAAGTAAGTGCACTATTTGGCATGCTTGGCATATTTTCACAGCGTATCTAAAGAGAAATTTGCGATTACATCTGCCAAACACTGAAGGAAAACATTTCATAATTATCCATCTTCTCATCTGAAGGGAGTGGTGATAAGAAATCATTCAGTCGTCTGTTTCAAACTGTGCCAGCAGATGACGCTACATTGTCACACTTTATAGAAAAAAAATCTAAAACCAAAAACGAATTGATTCTTACAAATAACTGAGAAGATGAGGTTTAGGTACATTAACAAAGGCAAATTACCTGCCAGCTACTTGCATTTCAGTGGTTATGAAGAAAGAAGCTCAGACTCCGTGAAATACAGTGAATTTCAATTCATCTACGTCCAAAACACATCTGTACTGCAGTAAAGAGCCTGACCAATCAAAATGCAGCTGCTCTCTGATGTCATTCTGATCTGAATATGAAAATTTCACAGGTCCTGTTTAGCATTGTTTCCCTGGTCAAGACACGCACCACTGTCAGTTCAGACTGTAAGAGCTGAACCCTGTCCACTCTATCTACTCTTTTGATAGGGATAATAATGGCCCCTAGTCAGGCGTTTGTGTTCCTCTCTCCCTCCCTCTCTTTGGCCTCATGCTGGGGTTGGTAAACAACCTCGCTCTGACCTTTCCCCAGTCTATGCACTGGATGATTTCGAATGTTTAGAAATTGAATGTTATTATTTAGCTGCCACAATTTCGAGTACCCTAACGCAACAGTTAACAGCTCATTGACCATGGCAGTTGAATGTAAATGAGCCACTAAACAGGTTCCTAGTTAAAAGGATAGTTAACCCCAAAATTATAAGTCTGTCATTATGTTGTTCCAAACTCAAATGGCTTTTTTTCTTCAACAACACAAAAGAAAATATTTTATAGAACGTTTCAGCTGGTTTTTGTTAATACCATCAAGTTAATGGGGTCCAAAACTTTCAAGCTTCAATACGGACATAAAGGTAGCATGAAATTAATCCATATGAATCATTTTGTATGATATGCAGTTTTTAAGCCTTTATGTTGATTGGGCACATGACATGCAACATTCAGTGAGGTCTGACATTTAAAGTTGTGATTAAATGCAAGTCTTTTGTATTGTGACATGTCCGAGTGAAACATGTTACTGAAAAAGAAGAAGAAATGTAAAAAAAAAAAATTATCGAAGCCAAATTTAACTTAGTCTCTGTATGCACTGCTTAATGTTTTGGTATGTTTTGAGAGTTAATAAAGACTTTGAGTAAATAAAGTTTGATCTGTTTAACATAGAAAGTAATTGTGCTGCTTCCGAAAGCTTTGAATATACCAGTCAAGTCATATGGATTAATTTTATGCTACCTTTATGTCCTTTTTGGAGTTTGAAAGTTTTGGATCCCAATGGAAAAAAACAGCTGAACAAGATTCAAAACATTTTCTTTCGGGTTCAGAAAGAAAGATATGAGCTTGGAATGAGAACAATACTTTTTTGAACTTACTATCCCTTTAACTCTAAAACTACAGAGTTTCTGGACAACGCAAACAGCAAAGGCACTATGATTGTACTTTTAATCCTTGCTTTCCCCAAAATATATGATACATTTAAAATATGTTTGGTCTTAGGTAAAAAATTATACTTATCAGAATCTAAAAAAACAACAACATTCTAACATTCTCTATAATATAGGCCAGCAGTTTCAAAGACTGCTTCAAAATATGACAAGCAGAAGCTCACTGCCTAAATATACAGGTGAAAAAAAGTGTCTCTACATTCTTCTTCTGCTTTGAAAGAGGTGTTGGTGACAATAACAGCACACAAACCTGCACGTATAGGTGCAACTGAGAAAAGCTGATGCTACACTATCAGTGGTTTGCACACAGATCCGCAAATCTTTTCAGAACGTCTCCAATCTCCATCCCTTTGTGAGCTCAGTCCCAGTGTAACTGTAAATCAGTGGAGTCCAAGAAATCAGATGAAAAGACTGCAGTCGGTGAGGAGATACCAGCAGGACCTGGAATCGTAAGGTCCAACCACTCCATGTTGTCGAGGCCTGCGTCTTGCAGTGGGAGGGCAGAAGGTGGCGTGTCAGTGAAGGTCAGATCTGAAGTGTCCATTGGGGAGTGGGACCGCTCCAGCAGCTGGTTTTTAAGCTCCTCCATCAGTCTCAGGGTCCGTGGCTCAGCGTCCTCCAGCAGGGCCTCCAACTGGTTATCGGAGGCCAGGGCTACCATGTTGGGTGGAGGCGCTTGGGTTTGGTTGGGCGTGCGAGCAACGTGTATCTGCGGTGGAGGACGAGACAGCACTGTGTTGATGGGCATGGTGGTGATGTTTGCTGTCACTGGAAGAAGTTTGTCCAGAGAAGGATCCTGCCTGGATAGAGG